TATTAAAAATATTCAACTTAACATTATTGACATACTCCATAGTAGCTTACCTTCATTTATTCACAGTATTAACACACGAATTGAGTGCTTGAATATTTATCTAAATATACTTTTTCCATTCCTTGTTCTTTACACCCATTATATATTTTATATTAACTTTCTTTTAAAGTATAAAGTTAGGCTAAATAAATCTAAATAGCTTCCAATTATATTTCTTACTTACCACTAAAAGATAAATCTCTTGCAGACCATAAAATAAAGGGAAAGTTGATAGAATAAAGTTGAGTCGGAGTTTAAGAAATAAAATTTTATGAAGGTGAAACTAAAAAGTTATAGAGATTACCAAAATTATTGTTATTTGTGTATTGGTTATACTATTCTCCATCTAGTTCTATAGACAATCTTATAATATAGGTTAGTCCAGGATACAAATATTAATTAACTTATGTAAATAAATTTTCGTCATTAGAGTTCATTTAATTTATCTCTAAAATCTCTAAGATTTTTAACTTTAAAGGAGATTTATTAACTATATTTGCAGCTAGATAAGCTTTATTTTATTCAAATGAGTTTTAATTTAGATAACTATTTTTTAAATCCTAAATAGCATATATAGCACCACCTATTTAGCTATTGCACTCAATAAAAAAGCTATTTTCTAACTCGATATAAGATAACCCAGAAATAGCACCTCCTAAATAATTGCTCCTGCATTATTTAAATGTAGTTCGCCAAATTCCTATTACTTAATTTTAATTAGTATTAAAAGTGTTAATAAAATTTAAGCAACCACCAAAGTTAATAGAAGATCCATTTATTATGTTAGACGATATCATAGAAAATTTATAGTTATAGCCATCTAATGTTAAGAATTATAAGTTACTTTTAGATTATAAATCTGCTTCAACTGCTTAAAATTTGATATAGTTTTAATTTTATTCTAGTTCTTATTAGATATAGAAAATTATAGATTGTTTTAGGTCTGTGTTTATTTTTTTAAGTTAAATATTCTAAATGTCACTATTATCTACATTTTTTAGATAAAATAGAGATTTTGAATTGATAAATATTTATTATACTTTGAATTATTTTAAATCTAAAGAAAAAATTTATTATGCATTTATCAAATATCCATAAAATTTTGTGTTTACTATATCAAAATTTTAAAGACTCAAATCTTTAATAGCTTAAAAATATATAAAACTAGAATAAATTACTAAATTTGATAAGGAAATATTATTTATATTAAATTTATCAGAATTAAGGCATTAAATAATAGATCCTTTCATATTTTCACTTTTTAAAACAGTTAAAGATTTAAAATCAATTTTTCCAGTATTATAAAGTTTAATAAAACTCTCTTAGCTATTAGATTAAATGGAGCCTGAAAATCCTTATAAAACTATTTCGTTGATAGAAAAAGATTTTATCAATTTTACATCTAATTATAAAGAGCTACTACTATCATTTTTTTAGTAAATCAATTTATCAATCTCTATATTAGATGTTTAAATTTTTTAACTGAACTATATGACTTCAATGTAAGAAGAAGCGACAAAAGATGATTAGTATGATATCAAACCTATTTTAATTTTTCCTTCATTAGATATATTACTAAAGATTTAAATATTAGCAAATTTATTAAATATCTAAGTACGAGAGATATTTATATAGCTTACATCTATATTTATGCTCTAAATATTTATTTCATTATTAGATTAATAAACAGGATCCACAAAGCATTCATTAAATTGAATAAAACTTGCGTTTAATATCTTTGATATACTTTTTATCATTAATTTATCTTTTCCAAAAAAATATAGTTCACACCCTTAAGAGTTAATTAATCTTATTTAATCTATTTAAATAATTGAAGAGCTGAATTAAATTGATTAGTTTTTGAAAAGATCTTTTAGAAAAATTTATCTTACAGTAATTTAATTAATATCAAAGGTACTAATTAAATTTTAAAAGGACTTCATAGACTTAGAAATACTAATATTTTTTATTATTAAATCTTATATTTTGTAAAAATATATTAACTAATCAAATTTTTAAGATTAAAGACTTTCTAAGTTAAGATTATTTATAGTAACAACTTTGACATTCTAGATTATTATCTAAGAAAAAATATTCGAATCTTTTAAATTTAAGTCAAAAGCTATTTCATCTTAGTTTTCTACTACTATTCTACTTACTTAGCAAGAATAATTAATATTGTATTGATTTAGCTATTATATAATATATTTATCACAGTTTTCATCTTTAATTACCTGCATATTTAATTCATCTTATGATTTTGTTTATAAAATAAAGAAAACTAAAATTATTAGATAAAATCTAAAAAAGTACATTTTAATTTTATTTTTACTATTTTTTTTTTTTACTATTAGTATGTTTTCTTTGGAATTAATTAATTATTATAAATTTTTACCAACTAGGTGCTAATTAAAGAGCAAAAACAAAGATTATTTTATACCATTTTATTTTGCACAAGAAAATATAACAAGATTAATTTCTTATCACTTTTTAATTTCTATTTGAAATGACTTTTTCTATTTTGATCATTAGTTAGTTAGCAGAAATTTTCTGATAAACTAATTAATTAATTTACAGTAAACTGCAAAAGCCTTATGCCAAATTTAAAATCAAGTCTAAAAAAAATACAGGCTCCTATTTAAAATATAGCTGTTTTGATAGCACTAATAATTTCTTAAACAAGATATTTTATAATAGATTTAAAATTGATAATGTAATTTATTTTAATTTTTTTTAAATAATTGTTTATTTTATAATTAGCATAGTTTTTAATTTATTTTCTAAAATAATTCTTTATTTTTATAATTTATTATTATATATATAAATCACTTTTAATCACAAAAAAACATATATTTTTAAAAAAATTCTATTTTTAAATTTATCACTTTAATCTACTTTATAAAGCATTTAATTTTATATTTATATAAATTCATAATAACTTATTTTATATATTAATTATGTAACATGTCAAAATTAATTTCTCAACTTATTTATTTATTTTTTTAATTTTCTTATTTAAAAAAAGTTACTTTTTAATTTAAAATTCTATTGATAATTTTATTTTTAATCATTTATTTAAAACTATACGAATTGCATACCTAACATAAAATAATATAAATTAATTTTATAAAATAAAATTTTAATCAAAGCAATACTTTTAAAAGCTATCATATATCAATCAAAATCATTTTATATTTCATAGGATAACAAGGGTTGTAAAGAATAGTCTAATTTTTAATTTATTTGCATTTTTTTCATACATACTATCATTTTTTTTACATTTTTATTTATTTTCATATTATCTGTAGATTTTAATCTCTAAATACATCTCCATTTTATAAATTTTTTTAATTTTTAAATGTATTTTTCTAGAAAAGAAATTATTACTAGCCAAATACAATAAAGGAAAAACAGCATGTTACATATCTAAATTATTAAGTAAAACGCTACTCTAAAATCTTGAAAATTCTTATCTTCATTTTAATTCTATTGCAAATACATTGTAGACGAGAGAAGTATCATGTTTGAAATTATTGTAGATATTATTTCTAAATTATTTAAAAATGCTGAAATGAAAGGATTAAATCTTATTAAAGCCATAATATAACAAAATAATATTATAGAAATCATAATGAGACTAATCTAAGGATATTACTTCAAACACACATAAAATAAAATAATCAAACTTTTCACTAAAATTCTTACCATTTCCCAATAGAAAAATTTTGTTTTATATTCAATGTATAAAAACCCAAATGTAAACATGACTTTGACTTTATTTAGTCTCTTTCGTGATTAAATTAGCTTTGCAAATACTACAAATGGGAAAACTATCAAAAAGGAGATTAATATCACAAAGCTTAAATATTATATTTTATCGAGTTCTGAAGAGTTTCCACATTCCAAACTTAGGTCAATAAGAGAATAATATTTATCCTTGTCAAGTTTTAGACAAAAGAAACTACTAAGCGTTTTTTCTAATAGAGTTGAGTAAAATAATATGATAAACATGTATATTAAAGTGAGGATAGAAGCATATAAACTTCTTCTAAATAGCTTCCTTTTTAAAATAAATATACAAATTGACACAAGAATTGTTAATGAGCAAATAAATATTGGGATCATAAATGTTAAAAGAAGTTCAGTGTATCCTATGTTAGTTGATTCAGGTTTATACTGAGAAATTAAGCAGTTTAAAGAGAGAAAGGAGGAGCTTAAAGGATTGTAGAGTAAAAACTAGAACTAAAATAAAGAAGAAAGTATATCCACTTTGGTGAATTAATTTGATATGAAATAAATTTAAGTATGAAATAGTAAAATCTTAATGTAAGTAGAAGTCAATGTCTATTACTGCAATGTTTTCCTAATGAAAAAAATACCCATTTTAGATAAATAAAGTGCAAGAATTTCATTTTTTAGCTTTTTAAAGGTTGAATATAAAATAAAGGGTAGACTTACCATCAAAATAGTTAGCAATACTATTATTTTTATAGTATTAGAAGAAATTGAATTGCACTTTACACATTAAAAGAAACCCACATTAGAAAATCTTTCATTCCAGTAAGCACCATAAAGATCACAATTCAAACATTAGGCTCCTACATGACCTTCATTGCAAAGCTCATTTCCTATTCCACTACCTTTATTTAAAAATATTATAATTTAATAAATAATTTATTAATAAATAAATTTAATTTACCTCCTTAGCAACTTGAAGGATTATTAGAACAATAGTAAATATCTTAAGGTTCTACTGAATATATTGATCTCCAATATGATGATTTTAGCTCTGAGTAATTTCCATAACATTATTAAAAATATTCAACTTAACATTATTGACATACTCCATAGTAGCTTACCTCCATTTATTCACAGTATTAGCATATGAATTGAGTGCTTGAATATTTATCTAAATATACTTTTTCCATTCCTTATTCTTTACAACCATTATATATTTTATATTAACTTTCTTTTAAAGTATAAAGTTAGGCTAAATAAATCTAAATAGCTTCCAATTCTATTTCTTACTTACCATTAAAAGATATATCTCTTGCAGACCATAAAATAAAGGGAAAGTTGATAGAATAAAGTTGAGTCGGAGTTTAAGAAATAAAATTTTATGAAGGTGAAACTAGAAGTTAATAGAGATTACCAAAATTATTGTTATTTGTGTATTCTTTATGCTATTCTCCATCTACATCTATAGATAATCTAATAATATAGACTAGTCCAGGATACAAATATTAATTAGTTTATGTGAATAAATTTTTATCATTAGAATTCATTTAATTTATCTCTAAAATTTCTAAAATTTTTAATTTTAAAGGAGATTTATTAACTATATTTGCTGCTAGATAAGCTTTATTTTATTCAAATGAGTTTTAATTTAGATCAATATTATATAACTCCTAAATAGCATATATAGCGCCACCTATTTAGCTACTGCACTCAATAAAAAAGGTATTTTTTAAGCCTGTATAAGATAACCCAGAAATAGCACCTCCTAAATAATTGCTCTTGCATTATTTAAATGTAGTTTCCTAAAGGGCTATTACTTAATTTAAATTAGTATTAAAAGTGTTAATAAAATTTAAGCAACCACCAAAGTTAATAGAAGATCCATTTAATATGTTAGACTCTTCCATATTAAAGTAATAGTTAGAGCCATCTAAAGTTAAGAATTATAAGTTACTTTTAGATTATAAATCTGCATCAATTCGTATAAATAATACCTCATTTTAGGTTTATTTTCGTACTAATTCAATATAGAAAATTATAGATTGGTTTTGGTTTGTGTTTATTTTTTTAAGTTAAACATTATCAAAGTTACTATTATCTACATTTTTTAGATAAAATAGAGATTTTGAATTGATGAATATTTATTATATGTTGAATTATTATAAATCTAAATAAAAAATTGATTATGCATTTATCAAATATCCATAAAATTTTATGTTTACTATATCAAAATTTGAGAGAATCAATTCTTTTATAAATTCTAAATCTATAAAGCTAGAATAAATTACTGAATTTGATAAGGAAATATTATTTATTATTAATTTTTCAGAAGTAAAGCATTAAATAATAGATCCTTATATATTTTCACTTTTTAAAACAGTAAAAGAATTAAATTCAATAATTCCAATATTATAAAGTTTAATAAAACTCTCTTAGCTATTAGATTAAATGGAGCCTGAAAATCCTTATAAAACTATTTCATTGATAGAAAAAGATTTGATCAATTATACATTTAATTACAAAGAACTACTACTATCATTTTTTTAGTAAATCAATTTATCAATCTTTACAATAGATGATTGAACTTAATCTTAACTGAACTATATAACTTCAATGTATGAAGAAGCGACAAAAGATGACTAGTATGATATCAAACCTATTTTAATTTCTCCTTCATTAGATTCATTTTTAGCAATTTAAATACCAGCAAATTTATTAAATATCTAAGTAAGAGAGATATTTATATAACTTACATCTATATTTATGCTCTAAATATTTATTTCATTATATGAACTATAAATAGAATCTTCAGAGCATTCATTAAATTGAATAAAACTTGCATTTAATATCTTTGATATACTTTTTATCATTAATTTATCTTTTCCAAAAAAATATAGTTAACACACTTAAGAGTTAATTAAGCTTATTTAATCTATTTAAATAATTGAAGAAGTGAATTTAATTGCTGAGATAATGAAAAGATCTTTTAGAAAAATTTAGCCTACAGTAATTTAATTAATATTTTTTGCATAAATTAAAGTTTAAGAGGAAGTCATAATAAACTTAGAAAAACTTATATTTTTTATTATTAAATCTTATATTTTGTAAAAATTTATTAACTCATTTTAAAATTAAAGATTTTCTAAGTTAAGGCTATTTATAGTAACAACTTTGACATTTTAGATTACTATCTAAGAAAAGATATCCGAATTTTTTAAATTTAACTCAAAAGTTATTTCATCTTAGTTTTCTACTACTATTGTACTTCTTTAGCAAGAATAATTAATATCATATTGATTTAATTATTATATAATATATTTATCACAATCTTCATCTCCAATTACTTTCATATTTAATTCATCTTATGATTTTGTTTTTAAAATAAAGAAAACTAAAATTATTAGATAAAATCTAAAAAAGTACATTTTAATTTTACTTTTCCTATTTATTTATTTTTTTAACTTTTAGTTTGCTTGTTTGGGATTAATAAATTATTATAAGTTTTTACCAACTCTGAGCTAATTAAATAGCCAAAACAAAGGTTATTTAATACCAATTTATTTTGCAGAAGAAAATATAATAAGATTAATTTCTTATCACTTTTTAATTTCTATTAGAAATGGCTTTTTCTATTTTGATCATTAGTTAGTTAGCAGAAATTTTCTGATAAACTAATTAATTAATTTGCTGTAAACTGTAAAAACCTTTTGCCCAATTTAAAATCAAATCAAAAAAAAATACAGACTCTTATTTAAAATTTAGTTATTTTGATAGTACAAATAATTTCTTAAACAAGAAATTTTATAATAGATTTAAAATTGATAATGTAATTTATTTTATTTTTTTTTAAATAATTGTTTATTTTATGTTTAGCATAGTTTTTAATTTATTTTCTAATATAATTCTTTATTTTTATAATTTATTAATAGATATATTAATCACAAAAAACAACCATTTTAAAGAAATTTCTATTTTAAAATTTATTTATTTAATAAACTATTTAAAAATTTATGATATTTATCAGATAAACAAAATCTTAAAGCTAGTTATATTCTGTCTTAAATTATTTTTGTATTATATTATTATAATAAATATAAAATAAAAGTAAATATTTTCTATTATTAAAATAATTTTTTAATTATTTCATCATTTATTTATTATCATAAATCTATTTTAAATACTACTAATCTTTTTGATTTAAAGCACTTTCTTTTTTTTGGTTTATTGATTTAACCTCTTCTATTAATAAAAATTATTTAAAAAAATGAATTGCAGTAAGATAAAAAATTTATAAGCAGAATTAAATCAAATTTAAAGTTAATAAATATTAGGATTTTTTAAAAAAATACTTTTAATATTTAATCTTGTATTGTCAAAATTAATTTCTTAACTTGTTTATTTTTTTTAATTTTATTATTTAATTAAATAATTTTTTAATTTCTAATTCTAATAATAAATAATAATTTTAATCATTTATAAAATACACTATGTGAATTATAAACCTAACATAAAATATATTATATTAACTTTATAAAATAAAATTATAATCAAAGCAGTACTTTTTAAAAGATATATATCTATAAATCAATCTAAATCATTTTATAATTCATAGGATAACAAGAGTTGTAAAGAATCGTCTAATTTTTAATTTATTTGCATTTTTTTCATACATATTATCATTTTTTTTACATTTTTATTTATTTTCATATTATCTGTAGATTTTAATCTTTAAATACATCTCCATTTAAGACATTTTTATAATTTTTATATGTATTTTTCTAGAAAAGACATTATTATTAGCCAAATGCAATAAAAGAAAAACATCATGTTACATAACTAAATTATTAAGTATAACGCTATCTTAAAATCTTGAAAATTATTATCTCCATTCTAATTCTACTGCAAATACATTGTAGATGAGAGAAGTATCATGTTTGAAATTATTGTTGATATTATTTCTAAATTATTTAAAAATGATGAGATGAAAGGATTAAAGCTTTTTAAAGCCATAACATAACAAAATAATATTATAGAAATCGTAGTGAGACTAATCTAAGGATATTACTTCAAATACACATAAAATAAAATAATCAAGCTTTTCACAAAAATTCTTACCATCTCCCAATAGAAAAATTTTGTTTTATATTCAATGTATAAAAACCCAAAAGTAAATTTGACTTTAACTTTATTTAGTCTCTTTCGTGATTAAATTAGCTTTGCAAATACTACAAATGGGAAAACTACCAAAAATAAGATTAATATCACTAAACTTAGGCATTATATTTTATAGAGTTCTGAAGAGTTTCCACATTCCAAGCTTAGGTCAATAAGAGAATAATATTTATCCTTGTCAAGTTTTAAACAAAAGAAACTACTAAGCGTTTTCTCTAATAGAATTGAGTAAAAAACTATCATAAACATATATATAAAAGTTAGGATAGACATATATAGGCTCCTTATGAATAGCTTTCTTTTTAGAATAAATATACAAAAAGACACAATAATTGTTAATGAGCAAATAAATATTGGGATTATAAATGTTAAAAGAAGTTCAGTGTATCCTATATTAGTTGATTCAGGTTTATACTGAGAAATTAAGCAGTTTAAAGAGAGGAAGGAGGAGCTTAAGGGATTGTAGAATAAGAACTAGAAATTAAATAAAGTAGAAAGTATATTCACTTTGGTGAATTAATTTGATATGAAATAAATTTAAGTATGAAATAGTAAAATCTTAATGTAAGTAGAAGTCAATGTCTATTACTGCAATGTTTTCCGAATGAAAAAAATACCCATTTTAGATAAATAAAGTGCAAGAATTTCATTTTTAAGCTTTTTAAAGGTTGAATATAAAATAAATGGTAGACTAAGCATCAAAATAGTTAACAATACTATAATTTTTATAGTATTAGAAGATATTGAACTACACTTTACACATTAAAAGAAACCCTCTTTAGAAAATCTTTCATTCCAATAAGTACCATAAAGATCACAGTCCAAACATTAGGCTCCTACATGACCTTCATAGCAAAGTTCATTTCCTATTCCACTACCTTTATTTGGAAATATTTTTGTTTAATAAATAAGTTATTAATAATGAAATTTAAATAAATTTAATTTACCTCCTTAGCAACTTGAAGGATTATTAGAACAATAGTAAATATCTTAAGGCTCTGCTGAATATATTGATCTCCAATATGATGATTTTAGCTCAGAGTAATTTCCATAACATTATTAAAAATATTCAACTTAACATTATTGACATACTCCATAGTAGCTTACCTTCATTTATTCACAGTATTAACATATGAACTAAGTTCTTGAATATTTATCTAAATATACTTTTTCCATTCCTTGTTCTTTACAGCCATTATATACTTTATATTAACTTTCTTTTAAAGTATAAAGCTAGGCTAAATAAATCTAAATAGCTTCCAATTCTATTTCTTACTTACCACTAAAGGATATATCTTTTGCAGACCATAAAATAAAGGGAAAGTTGATAGAATAAAGTTGATTCGGGGTTTAAGAAATAAAATTTTATGAAGGTGAAACTAGAAGTTAATAGAGATTACCAAAATTATTGTTATTTGTGTATTCGTTATGCTATTCACCATCTACTTCTAGAGATAATCTAATAACATAGGTCAATCCAGGATACAAATATTAATTAGTTTATGTAAATAAATTTTTATCATTAAAATTAATTTAATTTATTTCTAAAATTTCTAAGATTTTTAACTTTAAAGGAGATTTATTAAATGTATTTGCAGCTAAATAAGCTTTATTTTATTAAAATTTATTATGATCTTAATCTATATCACTATTTAACCCCTAAACAACATATATAGCACCACCTATTTAGCTACTGCATTCAATAAAATAATTGTAAATCCCAATAAAAGATGTCCCAGAAATAGCACCTCCTAAATAATTGCTCCTGCATTATTAAAATGTAGTTCCCCAAATTTCTATTACTTAATTTTAAATAGTATCAAAAGTGTTAATAAAATTTAAGCAACCACCAAAGTTAATAGAAGATCCATTTATTATTTTAGATTTGGACATTGTAAAATGATAGTTAGAGCCATCTAATGTTAAGAATTATAAGTTATTTTCAGTTTATAAATTTGCCTAAGAAGATCTAAAAAGTATTGTTTTCATGATTAATTCTGGCTCTAATACATAATAGAAAATCATAGATTATTTTTGGTCTGTGTTTACATTTACAATAGCAAATTCTCCAAACACGCTTCTGTTTATATTTTTTAGATTAAATAACGATTTTGAATTGATAAGTGATTCTGATAATATAAAAAATCTAAAATATAAATTATAAATTTATTATGCATTTATCAAATATCCATAAAATTTTATGTTTCTTATTTAAAAATTTTCGATTGTCAAATCGATAATAACTTCCAAAACTATAAAGCTAGAATAAATGACTGAATTTTCTAAGATAAGTAATTTTGTTTTAATTTCTTAAGAATAAAGGACTTAAAAAATAGGTCCTTTTATATTTTCACAATTTTTAATAGTTATTAACCAAATAGTAATAATTCCAGTATTAAAAATTTTAAATAAACTTTGATATCTACTATATTAAATAGGGCCAGAAAGTCCTTCTAAAATTAATTCATTTATAAAAAAAGATTATAATGATTTTACATCTAAATACAAAGAGCTATTACTATCATTATTTTAATAAATCAATTTATCAATCTCTACATTAGCCCTTTATTTTGTCAGTAAATCTGAATTGAACTATATTACTTCTATGTATGAATTTGTGACAAAAGATGACTAGTATGATATCAAATCTATTTTTATTTTTCCTTAAACAGAATTCACAAAAAAACTTAAAACATTAAATATTTAAGTAGGAGAGATATTAATATAGCTTAAATCTAAATTTATGCTCTCAATATTTATTTCTTATTTTGATTAAAAAACAGAATCGGGACATTCGGTAAATTCAAATTGAGTAAAACTTGCATTCAATATCTTTTAATAATTTTTTATTGCTAATTTACCATCCCCAATAAGATTTAGTGAACAGATTTAAGAGTTAATTAAGCTTATTTAATTTATGTAAATTAAATAAGATTAGAATTTAATTTTCTGGATGAAAATATCTTTTAGAATAATTTATTTTATAGTAATTGAAGTAATATAATCTGAATTAAATAACATATAAAAGGACTTCATAGACTTAGAAATACTTATATTTAACATCTCTAAATCTTATATTTAATTAAAATATATGAATGCATCATTTTAATAAAATTATATATTTTCTAAGATAAGGTTATTTATACTAGCTACTTTGATATTATAGATAATTATCCTAGAAAAAAGATTCTAATCTTTTAAATTTAAATCAAAAGCTATTTTATCTTAGTTTCCTATCATTATATTATTTTCTTAGCAAAAATATATAATATTTTATTCATTTAGCTATTAAATTACAGATTTATCACAATTTTCATCTCCAATCACCTTCATATTTAATTCATCTTATGATTTTGTTTGTTAAACAAAGAAAACTAAAATTATTAGATAAAATCTAAAAAAGTTCATTTTAATTTTTTTCTTTTTCCTATTTACTTATTTTTTTATTTTTAATTAATTTGTTTTTGAATTAATTAATTATTATAAATTTTTACCAACTCTGTGCTAATTAAACAATAAAACAAAGATTTTTATACCAATTAATTTTATAGAAGAAAAATTATTAGATTAAACTTTTATCACTCTTTAATTTCTATTTGAAAACCCTTTTTCTATTTTGATTATTAGAGACTCCTATATAAAATTTAATGGTTTAATAGCACTAATAATTTCTTAAACAAGTTAATTTATAATATATTTAAAATCGATAATGTAATTTAAGAAATGGCATTTAACTCTAATTGTAGATTTTATTTTTAGCTTAATCTTTAATTTCTTTCTAATAAAATTCTTTGTTTTTGCCGCTTATAATATAAAGAGACTGATAAAAATTTCTCCTTCATTTTTAATAAATACTTTAATTTAAAAAAAAATAGAAAATATTGCTTTTTCTTGCTTTTATAAACTAAAATTGCTTTTTGTTACTTTAAAAATTTCACTGCAAATTTTATTTAGAAATTTAAATTGCTATTTAGTGGTATAAAATATCACTAATTATTTGATTAAAATTGAACAAATATCAAATAATACAATACGTCAAATGAATTTTGTCATCTACTAATAAAAAATTTTATATTCATAATTTTTCTCAATGTTGATTTTATTTTTAGCTTAATCTTTAATTTCTTTCTAATAAAATTCTTTGTTTTTGCCGCTTATAATATAAAGAGACTGATAAAAATTTCTCCTGCATTTTTAATAAATACTTTAATTTAAAAAAAAATAGAAAATATTTCTTTTTCTTGCTTTTAAAAACTAAAATTGCTTTTTGTTACTTTAAAAATTTCCCTGCAAATTTTATTTAGAAATTTAAATTGCTATTTGGTGGTATAAAATATCACTAATTATTTGATTAAAATTGAACAAATATCAAATAATACATTACGTCAAATGAATTTTGTCATCTACTAATAAAAAAATTTATATTCATTATTTTTCTCAATGTTGATTTTACTTTTAGTAAAATTTTTAATTGCTTTCTAAAATAATTCTTTGTTTTTGTCACTTATAATATAAAGAGACTGATAAAATTTCTCAAATATTTTTAATAAATACTTTAATTTAAAAAAAAATAGAAAATATTGCTTTTTCTTGCTTTTATAAACTAAAATTGCTTTTTGTTACTTTAAAATTTTCACTGCAAATTTTATTTAGAAATTTAAATTGCTATTTGGTGGTATAAAATATCACTAATTATTTGATTAAAATTGAACAAATATCAAATAATACACTACGTCAAATGTATTTTGTCATCTACTAATAAAAAAATTTATATTCATAATTTTTCTCAATATTGATTTTACTTTTAGTATAATTTTTAATTGCTTTTTAAAATAATTCTTTGTTTTTGTCACTTATAATTTAAAGAGACTGATAAAATTTCTCAAACATTTTTAATAAATGCTTTAATTAAAAAAAAATAGAAAATATTGCTTTTTCTTGCTTTTATAAACTAAAATTGCTTTTTGTTACTTTAAAAATTTCCCTCCAAATTTTATTTAGAAATTTAAATTGCTATTTGACTGTATAAAATATCACTATATATTTGATAGAAATTTAACAAATATCAAATAATACACTGCGTCAAATTAATTTTGTCATCTACTAATACTTACAATCATCTATAAATAGGTAAATTGCTTTGCTCCTTTGTGACTTATTTAATACTATATATATTTAAAATTATAAAAATATATCTTTTTATTTTTTAAATATAAATTAAAAATAAAATAAAACAAAATTTCTAATTGAAAAAAATAAAATAATTATATTAATAAATAGCTTAATAGTAATAAAAAAATAAATATTTAATATAAAAACTACACTAAATTATCAAGTTACTTATAATTGCTTAAAGTAACACCAATTATTTTTGCTTATTTATTTCTCCTAATTATATCCTAAATAAATCCTCAATATTTAGCCATTTATAATTAATTTTTAGTTTACAATAATTGATAAAAATTATGAAAAATCAGGTGGAAATTTAATTTAACTATTATATAAGCCCTGTTTAACCTCTTCTATTAAAATATGAAAAAAAAAATTTCATGAATAAAATAATTGCTTCAAAAATATTGAAGATGTAATTTTAATTTATACTAAGTATTTAAATTTATTGATCAATTATTAAGTTAAAATTCAAAAGAAAAATCAAAGATTAATGTATTGATGCAACAGATATTTTTTACAATAAAAAAATAACAGTTAATTTAAGCCTTTAAAAATTAATATTTTTATTTATTTATTTATTGATAATAATTTCAAATCTATACAGATGATAATTTCACTAGCCTTTTGATTTTTAAAGCTTTTATGTAGTGTTTATTATGTTCTTCCTCTGATGAGCACAAACTATATTTAAAATTTTATTTAATTTATTTTGAAAATATTTTAAATATACAATTAAAATATTAAGCTTGAAGATGTATATGGAATTTTTAAATTTGAATAAGCTATAAAAATATAAAATAAAAAAGTTTTTACTTATAAATTAGTATCAACACTTAAACATTTTTGCAATTCAACATTTCTCTCGACTTGAGTAATTTTTCATTATCACTAATTATATATTGGATAAAGCATCATAAATGAAAAAAAATAATTCTACTTGAAAATGCAATTCAAAGATCTTAAATTTGCTAAACTTGATAGACATTAATCCATTTTCAAATATCCTTCATCAGTAATTTTATTATTACTTTTTTTATAAAAATGCTAATATTAAATATAAAATTTAATCTAAATCTAATATTAATTTATTTTAATTAATCAAAATCTATTTTAACATTTTTTTTTATTATTTGAAAATAATAATAATTAAATACCTCAAACTAATACCTAAATTATTAATTTGATTGCAACTATTTAAACCTATTAAGATACCTTCTAAACCTTTATCACTAAATTAATTTGAGCTTTTTATATTAAAATAATTAAATATTTATATTACATTTTTAATGGATATCAAAAACTAATAATTTTGTAAAAAATTGCTTTAATAAAAATCTTCAAATCATCGCTAATAAATAGATTTCGATGACTATTTTTTAAAATTGCAAAGTGCTATATATAAAAAATAAATATTTGTCTTAAAAATCAATATAAATTTAACAATAATTACTGTAACAATAGTTTTAAATTGATTAGATTCTTACACTTGCTTAAGGCTAACCCAATATCAAAAATACCTTCATCACCAATTTAATTTTCTCTTTTAAATTTAAAAATATTTTATAAATTAATTTTTTCTATAATGCCATAAAACAGAATAATAATAAATTTAACTTACAGTAAACTCAAACATAAACATTTAATTTAGGTAAAATTGCTCAAACCTGCTGCTATACCAGACGCTCCTATATCTCCGATTTAATTATAACTTTTAAATTAAACAATTTTTGAAAAATCTAATAAATTATAATATGTGATAAAAAAATAAAAATATAAAAATATAAATTCAATTAATTTACTAAACCCATAATTCACAATCAATAAGTTTTTTACAAGATCTTAAACCTAAACCGAATGCTTATGCTCCTTCATTTTTGATTTCATTAAAACTTTTAATGAATATAATTAAATAATGTATTTGAATTTTATTTTTGATTTATATAAAATAGTAAAAGATTTGTCTAAAAAAATAATTTAATATTAATAAAACTCTTCTTTTAACTTTTTAAGATTTTAGATAAAATTATTTGAATAATATTTGTTAAAACGAGTAAACTTTACCCAATACTTATAAATAAATTAGAGAGTTCTGTGCACTTACTTAGAGATATGCCAAGAGCTTTTGCTCCTTCATTACCTATTTTCTGGTTTCTTTTATTAATGAAAAAGTATTCGAGTGAGCTATTTTGAGAATCTTCTCCAAATTTTATTTTGGATAAATAATGTTTTAATTAAAATCAAATAAATAAAGTTTTTTATTTGATAAATAAATGCATTAAATTTATGATAAATAAAGACAGACAACTTTCTCTTTAATTTTTCATTTATTTAAAATTAATTAAAAAATAAGTAAATGAATAAATAAATATTTACCCTAAATCTAATTTGAGATGAGTTATATTGCTTAAGTTTGATTTTTTAAACTTTTAATAATGTAAAGATTTTATATCATAATTAATGAATAAAAAGCATATTATTACTTCTTCTAAATCTGTGAATCTCTTATTTTATCCTTCCATTGTTTTTTTTTCGCTTTAATTTTTTATGTGATAATCAATTTATATTTATAAATAGATTTTTATTTTATAAATTTTAAGCTTAATAATTATGTAAGAAAATACCAAAATATTTAAAAAATAAAAAATTTTTGAATTATTTTAAAAAATTTATTGTATATTTATAATGATAATATATAAGTAATTAAATAAAGGGGTAATTTAGAGTGCATGTCACTATGTATGTGCAAGAATGTATGTGAATTATTTTTATTTTATCTATTTTTAAAGCTAAAAATGAATAAAAACTAAATTTCGAATTGAAAAAAAATAAAATAATCAAATTAATAAATAGCTTAATAACAATAAAAAAATAAATATTTAATATAAAGATAACAATTATTTTTGCTTATTCATTTCTCCTAATTATATTTTAAATAAATCTTCAATATTTTAGTCATTTTTAGTTTAAAAAGAAGGTGGAGGAAATTTTATAAAACTATAATTTAAGATCTGTTAGACCTCTTCTATCTATTTAAATAAGAAAAAAAAATATTGCAAGAATAAAACAATTGCTTCAAAAATATTTATTGAATATGTAATTTTAATTTATATTAAGTTTTTAAATTTATTGATCAAAAATTAAGTTAAAATTCAAAAGAAAAATCAAACATAAAAGTTTAGATTCAACAGAAATTATTTATAATAAAAAAATAGCAATGAATAAAAGACAATAAAAATAAATATTTATTAATAAATGAAAATAATTTCATTAATATAAAGATAATTTAACTAGCCTTTTGATTTTAAAAGCTTTTCTATAGTGTTTATTATCTTCTTCATCTGATGAGCATAAACTATATTTAAAATTTTATTTAAATTAATTTTGAAAACATTTTAAGCATACAATTAAAAAATTAAACTTGACGATGTATATGAAATTTTTTAATTTGAATAAGCTAAAAAATACTATGAGATGTAAAAATATAAAATAAAAAAGTTTGCTTTTACCAAAAACTTAGTCTAAGCACTTTAACATTTTTGCAATTCATCATTTCTCTCGACTTGAGTAATTTTTCATTATCACTAATTAATTATTTATTGGATAAAGCATCAAAAATGAAAATAAAATAATTCTACTTGAAAACACAAAGCAAAGATGTTAAATTTACTAAACTTGATAGACATTCGTCCATTTTCAAATACCCTTCATCAGTAATTTTATTTTTACTTTTTTTATTATTATATTAATTTTAAATATAAAAATAAACCAAAAATAAAAATTAAATTATCATAATTTAATAAAAATCTATTTTAGCATTTTTTTTATTTTCATTTATTTTTATTATTTGAAAATAAAAATAATTAAATACCTCAAGCTAAGACCTAAATCCTTAATTTGATTACAACTATTCAAACCTATTAGGAGGCCTGATAAGCCTTTATCACCAAATTAATTTGTGCTTTTTATATTAAAATAATTAGTATTAAATTTTTATTGAGTGGATTTCAAAAAGTTAATATTTTTGTAAAAAAAATTTCTTTAATAACTTTTAATACAAAAATTTCATTATTAAAATATATAAATTATTTGAAAACCTCCCTCCATACTTAGAGAATAAATATTTGTCTTAAATAAAGAAGGTAAAGTATAATAGTAGCAACATAAAAATATATTATAAATTTAATAATAATTATTTACTGTAACCATAGTTATAAATTGATTAGATTCTTACATTTACTTAAGGCTAACCCAATATCAAAAATACCTTCATCACCAATTTCATTTTTTCTATTAAATTTAAAAATATTTTATAAATTAATTTTTTCTATAATGCCATAAAACAGAATAAAATTAAATTTAACTTACAGTAAACTCAAACCTAAACTTGTAATTTAGGTAAAATTGCTCAAACCTGCTGCTATACCAGACGCTCCTATATCTCCGATTTAATTTTCACTTTTAAATTCAAAAATTTTTGAAAAAGCTAATAAATTAAAATACAAATAGATATAAAAATATAAATTCAATTAATTTACTAAATCCATAATTTACAATCAATGAGTTTTTTACAAGATCCTAAAGCTAAGCCGAATGCTTATGCTCCTTCATTTTTGATTTCATTCATACTTTTAATGAATATAGTTAAATAAAGTATTTGAATTTTTTAAATATTTATTTTTGATTTGTTTTGTAAAATAGTAAAAGAGTTGTTTAAAAAAATAATTTAATTTTAATAAAACTCTTCTTTTAACTATTTAAGATTTTAGATAAAATAAATTGAATAATATTTGTTAAAACCAATAAAGTTTACTAAATATAAATAATTAAATTAGTGAGTTCAGTGCACTTACTTAGAGATATACCAAGATCTTTTGCTCCTTCATCTCCTTTTATCTTGTTTCTTTTATTAATAAAAAAGTATTTGAGTGAGCTATTTTGAATTTTCTCCAAATTTTATTTTGGATAAATAATGTTTTAATTAAAATCAAATAAATAAAGTTTTTTATTTGATAAATAGATGCATTAAATTTATGATAAATAAAGACAACTTTCTCTTATATTTTTCATTTGTTTAAAATTAATTAAAAAATAAGTAAATGAATAAATAAATATTTACCCTAAATCTAATTAGAGATGAGTAATATTCCTTAAGTTTGATTTTTAAAACTTTTAATAATGTAAGGATTTTGTATCATAATTAATGAATAAAAAGCATATTATTACTTCTTTTAAATCTCCAAATCTCTTATTTTTTTCTTCCATTTTTTTTTTTAGCTTTATTTTTTTATGCTGATAGTCAATTAAAAATTTATTTATAAAATAATAAAAAATTTAATTAAGTTCTAAATAATATTTAATTATTACAAATAATAGACAGAATAAATAAATTATGAAAAATAATTAAAGTAGCAAAAAATTTAATTCTTGTATGTTTATTTCATTTCCAGGCTTTAAATTCTTGTAGATAGATGAAGGAAATCAAGAATTTAATTCCTGGATTTTCTAATTAATTTTTTTTATATTTATCATATTTTATGATTTTTAAATTTGTAATTCTAGAATAAATAAATTCTTTTGATTAAAATATATGTTATATTTAGTTATTAAAATAGAACTAGCAAAAATTTATTATTTATAAATTTAATGATAATATGGATGGCATTCTAAGGTTCTTAATAAAATGGAAATTGTTAAATAATTTTCTATTTTATTAGTTTTTCAAGATTAATTTATGTTAAAATTAATTAAGCATGCTTGATTAAATTTAAAAAAATGTATCTTAAATAATTTTTATTTGATTTTAAATATAAAATTATTGAGTTCTTTATGTTTTATAAAATTAAATTTAGAATATGAAAACATTAATAATTAAACAGATAGATTCAAAACTTAAAGAAATTTTAAGTATTTAGACTTTAATACTCAAAATATAAATAAAATTAATCATAAATTTTTAGTCTAGTTAGTGCCTATTGTTAAAAAAGAATGATTGATTTTAAATGCAAAATTATTTAACATAAAATGAATATAATTTACCAATTAAATATTGAAGTGATATTGCCTTATATAAAATATTAAAATGTATACAAATTTTTATTTGTTTGAGATCAATCTATTTGTATAATATTGATTGTATTATTATAAAGTAAATAGGTGATAAATATTATATTATTATACTTATAAATTGAGACATTCCAGCTGTTTTTATGTATGAATTAATTAAAGTATTTTGATTGCTTAAGAATTTTAATTAAAAATAGCTAGTAGCGCACAAAATCAATATTTTATAATAAATAAATAAAAAAACATTTATATTGTTAATTTAAAATAGCTAAAAACGCATAAAAATAATATTTTATAATGAATTAATATAAAACCAGCTCAGGCTAAATGCTTTATTTTTTTAAATATCGCATATTTAATAAGATAGCAAAATAATATAATTTTTCCATTAAAAATCTCTAACATTTATTTTTATGACTTTTAAAGTATCTCAAAAATAATCAGTTTTAAATAACATTATTTAAATATCCCTTTATATTTTAATAGTAAGTGAATATTTCTTTAACTTTTTTTTAAATATTTATTATTCTGTTTAATTCTTCAAATATTTTTTTTAATTTTATTATTTAAAAGCTTTTATTTAAATATTTAAAAAGACAGACATGTAAAAAATAAATTTGTACTGCTTTCAAAAATTTATTCTTTGGCATATTAATAATATGAAATGCTATTTAAAAGAAAATTTTAGTTTTTTTTAAAAATATTTCAATAATTCAGTTCTAATTACTTTAAATTAGAAAGAATTTGAATATTTTTGAAAGAAACTTTAAAAAAAAATGAATATATTTGATATCAGTAAAGGCTTAAACCTTTATTTAGTGCCTTATTAGAACTAAATTAATAAACAAGTCTATTTCCACTTTGAAAAGGAAATTAATAAAGAAATAGAATAGATTTGAAGTTTAATTTTTGAATTGGAATTAAAATATGTAATTTGAAATTTGTCTATTTTTAATTAATTTTTAATTAAAAATTCAATTCATTTTGGAGTAATTTCGACGTATTTAATTAGGAGTAGAAAAGATCTTTGAAATTTAATTAAAAATAATATATATGTTTAATGTAATTCATTTTTGTGGTGAAAAAAACTAATCAGATTTTTATAGGTCTTTACTCATTTTTTAATTAAGAAATTTAATCAAAATTCAAACAATTGATTAAAAAAGACTTTCCTTAACACAGACAAATTCAATATAAAAAATTAAAATCCAATAGATTACTAACACTTAAAACCTTATTTTAAAACATTATTTCTAAATAAATGAACTAAGAGCAATTCTAATAATAGAATTAAGTTAAATACCCACCACTAGCTCCTTAACCAGCTTAAACTGTTGGCGAACCTGTTTATTACATGGCGAATAATCCTTAATATTAATAATATTAGCAACAACCTGTGGTATAACCTTAAATGAACCAATAATAAATGATTAACAATCCTCAATATTAAGCATATCCATAATAATATCAACCTTAAATGTACTAATAACAACCATTTTCTAATTAACCTTAAATGTAACAGTAATAATAACTATCCTAACCATAAGCTGCTTAGTTGACAGCAAAACAAATTTGTGCAAATACTTCTGACCCAGTATCAGTGGTTTGTCCTAATTGCAACAAATATGTTTTAACAGATATTAAAAAAGTTAGACCACCAGGCTTGATCTCACTAGCCTTTAATACAGTAACTCTTGGATTAGTTTCAGCTACTAAAGATAAATTCCATTATTGCCCAAACTGCAACGCAGAAATAGGAGTATGCTAAGTCATAAAAGGCAAAAAAATTAAAAGAAAGTGATTTTTTACAATCTTAATAAATACTTTTAGTATTCATTTTTAATATATTTGATTGTATTGTCTTTCAATAGTTTCTATTATCTATCAATAAGTTTTTGGTTTACAAAAATTTAAAATTATTTTTTTATTAATTTATTGATTTGCTAAATTAAAATAAAGAGCTAAAAAAAATCATAAATATCACTTATTTATTATTTTTGATTAAAAAGCTTAAAAGGTCTAAAAAATTTTTAAATTGTTGGTGTATTTTAAATATAAATTTAGTTTAATTAATAGTATAAAAACGAATATAATTTTAAATTTTAATATCAATATATAAATAACTTAATTATTTATCTAATTTATTATAAATTTAGTATATAAATTATTTATTTTTTATTATAATATAATACAATTAATATTCAATCAAATCAAAAGTTATATCTACAATAATTTAAAAATCTCTTCAAATTAGCAGTCTTCTATATAAATTTTACAAACTGATCATAATGAAAAATTAAGAATAAAATTTTACCTTAAATAAATAGTATAAATCGCAAAAAGTAATACATTTTTTGTTTTATTTTCTTATTAAATTTAACTATTTATTTTATCAAAAAGAGTATTATTGCCCATTAAAAAATGTTGGAAACTTCTAAAAAATAATTGAGACACTGGTCGACTGGTTGACATGAAATAGTAAATATATGTTTATATAGAAAATGTTAAGAGCTATTAATTGATATATTATTGATCAATAGATCATATTTTTTAGTTGATAATTCAATATTACGGTAAAAAAAATCAGCAAAAAATTACAATAAAATTAATAAAATTTATCATGTATGAAATTTATTTATAAATGTTACAATTTTTTTTAATTCATATTTATGGGTATATTTATAGATTAAAAATTTTCTTATTTAAAAAAATTTACTTTTTAATAATTTATTTATTACAAAATATGGATTATATACCTAACAAAAAATATTATAAACCCGCTTTTATCAAAAAAATTTTAATTCAAAGCGATACTTTTTAAAAGCTATCTACCTATCAATCTAAATCATTTTATAAATCATAGTGTGACAAGGGTTGTAAAGAATAATCTAATTTTTAACTTATTTGCATTTATTTCATACATGCTATCATTTTTTTAACATTTTTATTTATTTTCATATTATCTGTAGATTTTAATCTTTAAATACATCTCCATTTAATACATTTTTTTAATTTTTATATTTATTTTTCTAGAAAAGACGTTATTACTAGCCAAATACAATAAAAGAAAAACAGCATGTTACATATCTAAATTATTAAGTAAAACACAACTCTAAAATCTTGAAAATTATTATCTTCATCCTAATTCTACTGCAAATACATTATAGACGAAAGAAGTATCATGTTTGAAATTATTATTGATATTGTTTCTAAATTATTTAAAAATGCTGAAATGAAAGGATTAAATCTTATTAAAGCCATAATATAAGAAAATAATGTTATAGAAATCATAATGAGACTAATCTAAGGATATTACTTCAAACACACATATAATAAAATGATCAAGCTTTTCACTAAAATTCTTACCATCTCCCAATAGAAAAATTTTGTTTTATATTCAATGTATAAAAACCCAAATGCAAACATGACTTTAACTTTATTTAGTCTCTTTCGTGATTAAATTAGCTTTGCAAAGACTACAAATGTAAAAACTACCAAAAATAAGATTAATATCACTAAGCTTAGACATTATATTCTATAGAGTTCTGGAGAGTTTCCACATTCCAAACTTAGGTCAATAAGAGAATAATATTTATCCTTGTCAAGTTTTAGACAAAAGAAACTACTAAGCGTTTTCTCTAATAGAATTGAGTAAAAAACTATCATAAACATATATATAAAAGTGAGGATAGACATATATAGGCTCCTTCTAAATAGCTTTCTTTTTAAAATAAATAAACAAATTGACACAAGAATTGTTAATGAGCAAATAAATATTGGGATCATAAATGTTAAAAGAAGTTCAGTGTATCCTATGTTAGTTGATTCAGGTTTATACTGAGAAATTAAGCAGTTTAAAGAGAGAAAAGAGGAGCTTAAGGGATTGTAGAGTAAAAACTAGAACTAAAATAAAGTAGAAAGTATATCCACTTTGGTGAATTAATTTGATATGAAATAAATTTAAGTATGAAATAGTAAAATCTTAATGTAAGTAGAAGTCAATGTCTATTGCTGCAATGTTTTCCGAATGAAAAAAATACCCATTTTAGATAAATAAAGTGCTAGAATTTCATTTTTAAGCTTTTTCAAGGTAGAATATAAAATAAATGGTAGACTAACCATCAAAATAGTTAGCAATACTATAATTTTTATAGTATTAGAAGATATTGAACTACACTTTACACATTAAAAGAAACCCACATTAGAAAATCTTTCATTCCAATAAGCACCATAAAGATCACAGTCCAAACATTAGGCTCCTACATGGCCTTCATAGCAAAGCTCATTTCCTATTCCACTACCTTTATTTAGAAATATTATAGTTAAATAAATAATTTTATTATCAATCAAATTTAAATAAATTTAATTTACCTCCTTAACAACTTGAGGGATTATTAGAACAATAGTAAATATCTTAAGACTCTACTGAATATATTGACCTCCAATATGATGATTTTAGTTCAGAGTAATTTCCATAACATTATGAAAAATATTCAACTTAACATTATTGACATACCCCATAGTAGCTTACCTTCATTTATTCACAGTATTAACACATGAATTGAGTGCTTGAATATTTATCTAAATATACTTTTTCCATTCCTTGCTCTTTACACCCATTATATATTTTATATTAACTTTCTTTTAAAGTATAAAGCTAGGCTAAATAAATCTAAATAGCTTCCAATTCTATTTCTTACTTACCACTAAGATATATCTCTTGCAGACCATAAAATAAAGGGAAAGTTGATAGAATAAAGTTGAGTAGGGGTTTAAGAAATAAAATTTTATGAAGGTGAAACTAAAAGTTAATAGAGATTACCAAAATTATTGTTATTTTTGTATTGATTATGCTATTCTCCATCTACTTCTATAGATAATCTTATAATATAGGTGAGTCCAGGAAACAAATATGAATTAATTTATGTAAATAAATTTTCATCATTAGAATTCATTTAATTTATTTCTAAAATTTCTAAGATTTTTAACTTTAAAGGAGATTTATTAGCTATATTAGCTGCTAAATAACCTTTATTTTATTCAAATGAGGTCTCATTTATATCACTATTTAACTCCTAAACAGCATATATAACACCACCTATTTAGCTACTGCACTCAATAAAATAGTTACGTTATGACCAAATTTTAGATACCCCAGAAATAGCACCCCCTAAATAATTGCTCCTGCACTATTTAAATGTAGTATCCTAAATCCTTATATTTTACTATTAATTAGTATTAAAAGTGTTAATAAAATGTAAGCAACCACCAAAAGTAATAGAAGACCATTTATTATTTTAGATTACTCCATAGAAAATTCATAATACGAGCCATCTAAAGTTAAGAATTATAAGTTACTTTTAGATAATAAATCTGCATCAACTGTTTAAAATGTGATATTATTTTATTTTAATTGTTGTTCTAATTCGATATAGAAAATTATAGATTATTTTTGGTCTGTGTCTATTTTTTTAAGTTAAATATTTTAAAAGATGCCATCGCCTACACTTTTTATATTAATTAGCGATTTTGAATTGATAAGTATTTATTATATATTAAAAAATTTTAATGAAAAAGATAAAATTTATTAAGCATTTATCAAATGTCCATAAAATGTTGTGTTTACTATATCAATATTATAGAAAGACAAATATTAAATATTTTCTAAATCAAGAAAGCTAGAATAAATTATTAAATTTGATAAGGACATACTTTTTATTTCAACATATTAAGAATTCAAGCATTAAATAATAGGTCCATTTATATTTTCACTTTTTAACACAGATATAGAATAAATATTAATAAATACTGTACTAAAAGATTTAATTAAACTTTCATAGTTATTAGATTAAATAGAGTCAGAAAATCCTTCTAAAGATATTTTATAGATATTAAAATATTTTATAAATTATACATCTAATTATAAAGAGCTATTACTATCATTTTTTTAATAAATCAATTCAATAATCAATAAATTATTTTATAAAATATTTTAATTAAACTATATGACTTCAATATATGATGAAGCAACAAAAGATGATTTGAATTATATCAAACTTATTAATATTGATCCTTCGCCAGATTCATTTCTTTAAATTTAAAATTTAGCAAATGTATTAAATATCTTCGTAAGAGAGGTATTAATATAACTTATATCTATATATATGGTCAAAATATGTACTTCATTAAGTGATTGAAAAATAAAATCCACAAAGCATTCATTAAATTGAATAAAACTTGCATTTAGTATCTTTTAAATCTTATTTATCATTAATTTATCATAACCATAAAAATATAATTAACACACTTAAGAGTTAATTAAGCTTATTTAATCTATTTAAATAATTGTAGAGGTGAATGAAATTGCTTATCTAATTTATCTGATGAAAAGATCTTTTAGAAATATTTAGCCTACAGTAATTTAATTAATATTATAGGCATTAATTAAATTTTAAAAGGACTTTATTGACTTAGAAATACTAATATTTTTTATTTTTAAATCTTATATTCTATTAAAAGATATTAACATATTCATATTTTAAGATTAAAGATTTTCTAAGTTAAGACTATTTATATTAACAACTTTGACATCCTAAATTATTATCTAAGAAAAAATATTCGAATCTTTTAAATTTAACTCAAAAGCTATTATATCTTAGTTTTCTACTATTATATTATTTCCTTAGCAAGAATAATTAATATTGTATTGATTTAGCTATTATATAATATACTTATCGCAATTTTCATCTCCAATTACCTTCATATTTAATTCATATTATGATTTTGTTTATAAAACAGAGAAAGCTAAAATTAATAGATAAAATTTTAAAAAGTACATTTTAATTATTTTTCCTATTTACTTATTTTTTTTACTTTAAATTAATTTGTTTTGGAATTAGTGAATTATTGATTATATGTTATTACCAACTCTCTGCTAATTAAACAATAAAAACAAAGATTATTTTATACCAATTAAGTTTGCAGAAGAAGAATTATTAGATTAATTTCTTATCACTTTTTAATTTCTATTAGAAATCCCTTTTTTCTATTTTGATCAAAAGTTAGCAGAAATTTTCCGATAAACTAATTAATTTACTGTAAACTGTAATATTCTTTTGTCCAAGTTAAAATCCAATTCAAAATAAAGAAGGACAGACTCCTCTTATTTAAAACTAAGTGAATTTGATAGCACTAATGATTTCTTAAACAAATTATTTTATAATAGGTTTAAAATTGATAATGTAATTTATATTAATTTTTATAAAAAATGATAATTGATTATATTTTTAGCATAATTTTATACTTTATTTTTATCATTAATTATAAAGAGACCCATAAAAACTGTTTGTTCATCCCTATTTTTAAAAAATGCTTTAATTTTTAAAAAATAGAAAATATTTTTTTTTTTGCTTTTAAATCTAAAAATTACTTTTTTTTGCTTTAAAAAGTAAGTTACAGTTATTGTTATTGTTATTATTTTAATAGTTAAAACACATTATTTATAAAGCTATGCAAGCAAATAGAGTTTATTAGTTATATACTAAAATAATATTTATACATATTATATTTATGAAGCCTTTTTATGATGTAATTTTCCATTTCTTGTGCAATTTCCTCACATTTTTTAAGCAAATTAGATAAAAATTGAGGGTAATCAGGTTTGTCTCTAGTAAGCAGAGCAATAAAATTAATATATCTTATATGTGAGTTAATAAGTTCATCATTAAGATCATTTTTAGGATAACAAGGATTGTCTACATGTTTTCATAGGGGACTAAAGAATTCAAAACAAAGAGGTCATCTTCATCTAGGGTGACTTCAGCCTTAGTATAATTATTTTAATTCATAAAAACTACAAAAACACTTTGATAGGGTTGAGAACATGGTAGTTTTCTTTATTATTTTAGTAATTCTTATTTTATAATATAATTTAAAGCTAAATTTTATTTAGAAATTAAAAAAATTTTTATCTGATGGTAAAAAATAATCTAAAAAATCAGTAGTATTAATTAGTTCATATTTCGTCTTAAAAGTACATATAATCAAAGTAAATTATGAGCAATAATTTTTTAAAATAAAATGGAATAGTTTCAAAATAAGTAAAACTGGGATAATATGAGGTTCTATATAAAACTATTTGTGAAACCGCTTTAATGCCTTATGCTATGATATCTATTATGGGCATCAAAGCTCTCAAAAAAAATATCTCTGACTGAGATTTCAAAGATCGATCATTAAGCTAGATAGGATGAAATCTTAAAAGTATTATCAAGCATTTTTTAATTTCATTTTAATTATCCAATATTTCGTTCCTTTTGCAATTCTTATTTTTATTCTTATATTTGTTTCACAAAATAAATTTTTTTAAATTTAAATATTATTTATATTTGCTAAAAAATATGTTTTTTATATCATAAATTGCATATATAAAATTATATTTGCTCCACATTAAAATTTAGCTTCATATTTAATTAATCTATTTATTCTTCCAATAGTGTATTAAATTTATATCAATGTTTTATGAAATTGCTTTAGTAACTTAATCAAAGTCTTTTAAAGAAAATTAAATTAAATATTAGAAACATTTATTTATTGCTTTTAACAATCAATCATTTTAATATTAAAATTCAATGATAATTTGTAATATTTATTAACTAATCATCATACTCTATTTTACTATTCATAAAAAAAACCAGTTAATAATAATTAATTTGTCAATATAAATATATATATATATTGATTTGATTCTGTATTCATAGAGCATTAATAGAAATTAATAGAAATTTGTTTTTCTATTTCTGAGTTAATTAATTTTTCTTTCTTTTGAAAGGGTTTTTAAGTAAAAAAAAATGTGTTTAATTAAGAAATAGACAAATCTTTAATAATCAATTAAAAAATTCATTCAAAAAACAATGATTATTTATCCTTTCAAAAATTTCATCAGATTTTAATATCGTTACTTTAATTTCAATAAGTAATTCTGATTTTTTAAAATGCTTCCATTTAAATGGCATTCTTTTAAAAAGTAACTCTTCGAATTACTAATAATTAAAATTTAACAAACAAATTGATAAAAGCTAAAATACGCAAAAAACTCATTAACAAAATGTATTAAGACCCATACTTTCCATAATAAGCTAAATATCCACCTTTACCTCCTTAACCTGCTACTACAAATGGTGGTTTCGATTAATAAATGATGTATAATGGTTATAATTAACAATAATAATTCGGTTCTTAGTCTTAAATGTGCTAATAATAGCAATAATACTAATAATAATAACTATCCAATTAACCTCAAATAGATTAGAAATAAAATGGTTATAACTAATAGTATTATCAATAACCTCAATCTTATTAACCCTAAATGTACTAACAATAGGAGTATAATAATTAGACCTAATTATAGTAATAATAATAGCAATAAGGAAATCAACTAAGTGCTAAGCAAATATGTGCAAAGGCTTCTGAACCAGTATAAGTAGTTTGCCCTAAATGTAATAAATTAGTTGTCACTGACATAAAATACTAAAGAGCGCCAGGATTAATCGGTTTAGCTACCGCAACTTTAACTCTTGGAACAGTTAAGGCTGTCAAAGATAAATTTCACTCTTGCCCCAACTGTAATGAAGATTTAGGAGTATGCAAATTCATAGAAAGCAAGAATTCCAAAAAAAGAAGATGGTGAAAAGTATCTAGTAAAATATTGCTCTGAAATTAGCATTTTATAAATAAAAATTATTAGTTTTAAATATTTTACTTTATATTTTATTTTTGTAACATAATAATGATATTACTTACTAATTAAAAAAAATAAATTTTTTAGAAAAAATGAATTTTTTAAAAACTATTATAAAATATAATATATTATTATTATTCGTGTATGTAGTCTTAAAAAAGGCAGTACTCTAGCGTACTATATATATATATATATATATAGAAGATATAAATAGTACTTACTCATTTCATGCCAAGTAAGAAAAATCAAATGGTTACCACTGACAGGTCAAATTAAATAATAAAATTATATATAAAATTGATATGAATGATTAAATTATAATTTAATTAGCTTTAATATTTTTGTGTTAACTACATAACTATAAAAATGAATACATAAATTCATATATTTTTTACAATCAATTTTATTAAATAATTAAAATTTTTAGCAAAAATAATACAATTAATAGAAAAAATATCTATTTTTAACTAAATGTTATCAAAAAGCTTTATATTAAAAAAGATCAAATTATCCATAGATTCTCATATTTAATATTTTTGAAATAGACTTTATTGGTGTAAATAAATCCAATCCTTTAGATTATTTATTAGCAATATATAATATAAATTAATTATTTTTAGCATTAAATAAAAAATTATTTGCTTTATAAATATAGATAAATAAGTTTTTGAAAATATGTTCACTTTTCATAATAAAAGATTAGCTAGCTACTCTTAAATATTAACAAAAAACAAATATTCTAATATGTAATCATGATACTATTAATTAATGCATATGTTTTTGTTTATGAATTCGTTGAGAAAAACTAAAGTCGCTCTTTGTTTCTTCATAATATTTTAATAATTTGATTAATTTGTTAAATTAATAGGTAAAAGAATAATTAGTAAAATAAGGTAGATCTAATGGAATAAATCAGCTAAAATCAATAGCAACACGAAATGGTAAAGTTGAAGCTACTTCAGCATATCCAAAATAGATAGAAAATTAGATAGATGTATGCAGATAAGGGTATTTAAATGCTTCAAAAACAAGAGTTGCTTAGTAAATTGCATTTTTTTAATTTCCATAATTATTTGATGATATTCAACTATCAGAGTATCATTTTTTTAAATTTAAGGCCTCCTATCAATTTAAAGCCATAAATCAAAACATTTTTTAGTATAAGCAGCATTAATCATTATTTATTCTAAAAATCCCAAAAGTTTCTGACATTAATGAACCTACATTGAGTAAAGCCTAAAATATGGTTTACAAAGATATGAAGAGCGAGTTATTGCAAAAAGGATATGATGAATTTAGATTTTTAGGGTTAAGGAGCTCAAGGATTAGTTGTATTAGCAAAGGAAAAATCAACTAACAAGAGGTATGCTATCAAAGGAATTCCTATTAAAGATTCAAAGGACAATGTTGATCAAGTTATTTTAGGTTAAGTTTAGTAAGAAATCTAAATGCTCAATTAATGCAAGGGCTCTCCTTATGTAGCCAATCTTCTACACAAGATAGAAGGAAATGATTATATCTTCTTAGTCCTTACCGAATGTTTAGGTATATATCATTCATTACCTTCAAAATTTTATAGCATCCATCTCTTAATGCATAAATTAAATGGAATATCTCGATAAAAAATAGGAACATTGAGTGATATTATTAAGAATACCTAAAATTAAAGATTGAATGAGTTATCTGCTATTAAATACACAAAGGATATTGCAGAGGGTCTTTACTTTATTCATTCTAAGAAATGCTTAGTTAATGATCTGAAGATGGATAATATCCTAATTGATTACAATGGAAACGCAGTTGTTTGTAAATCTTTCATTGATATTTGATTAATTGTATTATTCTAATCTTAAATTTAATAAAATTAATTAATTAATAAGCTGATTTTGGATTTGCAGATAATCTCACTTAATAATCTGGATATGCTTTTGATGAATATGTAAAGTCCTTTTTACATCTCAAAATAAGAAATGAAGCTATGATACTTATTTATATTTATATTAATTCATCTAAAGAAAGGAAATATTATATTCCAAGCTCCAGAATGTTATGATCCCTCAAAATTTGATATTTACTCTGAGGAATACAAGAACTTAGGAGTAGCTGTAAAGTAAAAACCAAGTCAAAGAGTATTTTATAGATAAAAACTTATAAATATTATTAAAATTTATAATATTAATTTGAAGAGTGAAGCATGTTCTTTAGGTAATTAATTGAAATATACACATGAATCATTCATGAATTTATAGATGTATCTCTTGTAAATGTTTTTTTTTTGGTTAATAGGTTATTTGTTATATACAATGATTTCAGGATTTTAAGCGAATTTAGTTTTTAGCAAGCACCAACCTTTGCAATATAATGCAGACTTCTAAAACCTTGCTTATGAGAAATAGCTTCGATACATAATTGATGGATTGACAAAATTCATTCCAAGAGAGAGGTTAAAGGTTAAGGAAGCTTTAATAGTATTAAAAGGAATTGTTTCTTTTGAATTTGATTTAGAAAGCAAATTTATTGAAGTTATGGATGATGCAGAAGCTCAGTAATACATCAGATAGTTTAGATAAGACATTGAATATGTTCAGGGTTTTGAGAATAAATTTTACCCAATCATGTACTTTTTTAATTCCTTTTATAAAAATATTAAATAAATTTTTTTAAAGTAAAAATGAAAAGGAATTAGTCTAATATCTCAATTCTTAGATTGATGGATAAAAATAAAAACATGTTGATTTTATTACTTAATAAAGATAGATATTTGTTTAATCTGCTTTAATTTTTTAATGAAAAATAGGAGGCAGTTATTAATGAATTAAACTAATAAATAAAGGAAATGTAAAAAGTAATAGATGGTTTGTTAAATCAATAGGAGAAATAGGGAAATTAAAAATAGAATATTTAACCTTTTTTTTCAAATTAATAAGCAAGTTCTTAATAGGTTTTCTAGAAATAGCCAGTATAAGGTCACCAAGATTAAATCTAGAATCAAAAAATAGAAAAAAAATCAGACGTTCAGAATAATTAGCAAAATCAAGAGCAAATAAAGATTGATTAATAAGCTAGCAAAAAACCAACCAAGTAATTTATTTATTTCATCAACTTGTATGAAGAAACAATAAATTACTTGATTTATGACTAAGAATAAAACTGGCAATTTTTATTTTATCTTGAAATGGAAATCTTAATAAGTTTAATTTAAAAAATGAGCTTTTACTTTAACTAAATACAAAAAGCAAAACAAAACAAAGCAAATAGCCTTTTTAAGTTATCTATTCCTATTAAGCATTACTTATTTGGAACCCAAAAAATGAGAAGCATGATTTCAAATATAATCATATAACTTTCTTTAGAAAGCACAAAAAGAAAAAGAATAAAATTTTTCAAAATCAAAAATTTGTTTATAGCTATTCTCGCAAAATTGTTTCTTGAGTTAGAAATATTGACTTAGTAAAATAATAAATACTATAGGGTTCGAAATTGATATTAATACAGAAAGTTTTAAGAAAAAGTAGTAAGTGAAAAAAATAACAGCATAATTTGAAAAACTAGAGTATTTTTTTAGGACCCTACTTATTTGTATTCTATAAAACAAAATTCAAAAGAATATTTTATAGTTACTTTATTTAATGATTAATTCAGAACTGAAAATGTCATTTTGATAATTAAACAGTGTTTTTTTTTTTTTAAGCTTTTAACTATTTTAAATTAGTGTCTAAAATTCTCAAATAAAAAGTTAACTAAGAAGGCCAAATGTCTTTAAAATATTTTTATAACTTAAATAATATTTTTTAGAATGAGATTTTTGATTTCTATTATTTATAAAATAGGATGTATTTGACTCAATTATGTTTATGGTTATTAAATTATGGATCCTTTTTTGTAATAAATAATACAATACAGCAAGTATTTTCCTAATGTTTCTGATTATTTTTATAATCTTATACTTCTTCTTCATATGCAATAATAGAGGGTAAGATTTTTACTTTATGATAATCAGTTAAGATAATGTTAATATTAATCCTTAAATAAATATATAAATAAATAGATAGTATGATTTTCTAATTTCTACTCATTCAACGAATTAACTCAATCACTTTCAAATTTAAAATAGTCTGTAAATTTTGAATAATTTACACATTTTAGTGCAATTTCTATTCTGATATACTCAACTACCTTTATATATTAAAATAGCAGGTATTTATTACCTTTTATTTTAGATTTTCAATTCTCAAATATTTTTTAATAAAAGGGAGTAATTAATAAATATAAATCAAATCTTTTACTTAGAATCAAAGATGCTCAACTAATTAATTATTTTAAATATTCAAAAAAGTTGGTAATAAATAAATATGATTGAAATATTTTACTTAGAATCCTAGATGCTCAATTAATTAATTATTTTAAATATTCAAAAAAGCCAGTAATAAATAAATATGATTGAAATATTTTACTTAGAATCCTAGATGCTCAATTAATTAATTATTTTAAATATTCAAAAAAGCTTGTAATAAATAAATATGATTGAAATATTTTAGTAGACTAAAAGATGCTCAATTAATTAATTAATTAAAATATAAAAAATAGGATGTAAAAAATATGATTAAAATAATTTGATTAATTTTTGATAAATAAATTTATATGAAAATAGCTTGTAAATAACTAAATAAATAAATTGAAGAATTAAGATATTTAACTAATTTTGACATAAAAACAGTGTGTAATTATTTAAAAAAAGATTTTTATGACAATTTGATGAATTATTTTACTAAAAATAAATAAAAAGTTAGTAAATTTTTGAGATTTAAAAGAGTTAAATAAATAGATAAGGATTAAGGATTTATTTACTAAAACATATACAAAAGCGAGTAAAAATTGCTATTTTATAAAAATATTGAATTAATTAATTAATAATAAATATAAATTTAGCTAGTATTACATTTCAATAAATTGATTTGATAAAAATATAATGAAATAAGTCTATAAAATAATCAATCTATTCATTTTTAAATTAAATTAGGAGGTAACAATTATTTTTCTAATATACCTGGTTTATTCATTTATTTATTTATTTCAAATAATTTAAAATAAATAGCAAGTAATTTCATAAAATATACTTTATCTTGAATATTTTGCTATAAGTTATTATTAAAATAAATGCAGGATGTAATTTTAGTTTATTTTGTTGAGAATATTCTGAATTAGCTTTAATTTGTATAATAAATAGATAGTAATATTTTCATACAATTTTTTATCAAAAATATTTACTCTAATTTAACATAAAATAGGATGTAATTAATTTTGGTTTAGTTTGCTAAAAGTAGATTCTAATCAAACTTTAAATTGGAAATAGAGGGTACATTTAATATTTCTTTATTTATTCATTGCTTACTTCTTTAGAAATTAATTTTCTTAATTAATTTAATTTTTAAAATGTGTTCAATAAAATATTAAATAAAAATGAATATCTAAAATAGATGGTAATAAAAGATGATTATTGATTGATTTAAAAATATGTCTAAACAAACTATAATTAAAAAAGGATGTAAAAATAACTGAAACTGCAATAAAAGAAAACATTATTTAATTTTCAATACAGATTGTAAATTTTTTGAGCTTTTGGTCAGTTAATTAATACACAGTCTATAAATTGAAAATAAAATAGGAAGTAATTACTTATTTTGAGTTGATATAGATATTAAACAAATTTCATAATAAAATAGCAAGTAAATGTTTGAGATAGTTTCATTTAAAAAGTTAACTTTTTAAATTCTAATATGATAATGAACGAATAGAGACTTTACGTAAAATAATTGACAAATTTGATAGAAGAAAATATAAAAAATAAATATTTTACTTATAGAGAGGAGTAATTGATATTTATGGAAAATAAATTTAAATAGCTGAATGAATAAAATATATAGTCGGTAACATTTAACAAACGCTTAATTTAAAATTTAAATTATTTCAGATTATATGGCTAATTTCTTTTTCGATACAAATAAATAAATAGCTAGTAATAAATAAATACTAAATAAATTTTTATAAGAAGAACTTCATTCCACAAATAAAT